AACGTAGCGCGTAGCTATTTCGTAAAAGAACAGACATGCGTTGCCTGGTGCGCTGTTGCCAGGCTGTGAGTTTATCCCTTTCATATTTAAAAATAGTTTTACCAATAACTCACTAACAAGTTTTAATAATTAGAATAGTTTCTAGATATTATATTGCGATACATCAAGCGTCCCCACTAATTCATTTTTGTACCTATTGCAGTGTTTCCAACTCCAACGCATTGTGGGCAGAGTTGTTGCAATATTTCCCGAAACATTTATAATAGTAAGTCTCTAATTATTAAAATGACTTGTAACAAAAGAAAAAACGTATAAAATGTGTACAAAGTAGATTAAGCTATTTTAACTGCTTTCAGCAGACCTTATATTTTAGCAGCACCTATTTTTACACCATTATGCAGGGCATTTTTGTACCTATCATTTTTACATACATACGCCTGCTAAATAACAACTTTGCAAATACTAAGATAAACTGTGGCAAACACCATTATTATTCCTGCAAATAAATGCAAGGATTTTAAAAGCGTTAAACGTGACACCACTGCAATTTAAAATAATCTTGTTTCATTCATAGCTATATGTCACGATTGTCACGTATAGTATTTTATCAATCGATAGTTTGCGACGTTGCGATCCAGTAACTTGGTGCATATCGGGCGTTTCTGTTAATATTTAGACTTTTTTGGAAAAATTTCGGCTTGTGTATAGCTAACAACATGGCACTGGATATAACCAAAAGGCCAGACTATTGTAGTAATCCATAAATCTTTAATTGTTTTATCCACTATTGTTACATGATTACATTATTATTATATTTTGACTTACAGCTATCAAAATACCTGAGTTTGTAATTAATTATAAAAAATGTCTATTTTTTTTTTTATTATTTGTTTTTTTGATTATTTTTTTTTGTATTATTTTTTGTTTGTATTATTTTTTTTTTTTTTTTTTTTTTTTTCATTTTTTCCTTGGTTTCATTTTTTTATTTTATCATTTATTTTATTTTTTCGTTTCAGGTTTACAATATTTTTAGGGTAGCTCAGCTACTTACAATCTTGTATTAGTTTTTTTAACAAATTCATACAATATTTTATAAACTTTAACATCGTTTAATGAAAGCAGAACATCAATGTTTATTGGTAGAGGTATACCAATATTAACTAATTCTAAGTATCAGTATCTAACGAATTTAGGACACACTCTAAAATTATATGATTGAGATCAGCAATTTCATCACAAATTAAACATAAATTATTATCTGATAGACCAAATTTTTCCTTGTAGGCAGGATGCATAGCATGATTACTTCTCATACGACAAATAACTCGGATAAAAGACCTATTTATTTCGTTTTTGAACCAGGGACACTTTGGAATATTAGGTTGAATGTTTTTGTATTTCTTCCCTTTTTCTTCTTTAGAATATGCATCTTGCCAAGTTTTAAACATTGATAATTTAGATTTAGCAATAAAATCTGATTTTGGAGTTTTAATATTTTTATTAGTTCCCGAAACAGTAGCATTTTTTGCTAGTATATCCACTTTCTCATTGTTACTAATACCTACATGAGATTTTATCCACGCCAACGAAATTTCTTTATTTTGTTCCAAACATTGATAGTTAATCTTAAGAATTTCTGAGGCTATATAGTTGGTAGGACTGGTAACGTTCCATTTTGCAAAATATTCTACTGCACTCTTACTATCAGTAAATATAACATATTTAGATTTATTTTCCTGAAGACATACGTTAAAAGCTTCTTTTATAGCAACAAGTTCAGCATTGTATATTGACATTGTACTGGGAAGTTTAAACGAAATTTCATAATTTTTGTTAGGATACAAAATTGCACATCCTAATTGGTTCCCAATTTTAGATCCGTCCGTATATATGTTTTCAAATGTATTCCATTTTGTTATTAAATCTTCTTTAAATGCGTTTTTAATCACTAGAGGGTTTTCATTCAGTAGATTTTTGTTTATATATGTTTTCAATGGCGTTGTTAAAGCTGAAAAATGTAAGGACCATAGTGGAATTGCATTTTGTTGATGGAGGTCTGGAATCATTTCAATGGTAGATAAAAAAGTCTCTACTAGTAAAGGAAGTTTTTTCTTTGACCAATACTTTCCAGTTAAACACAGAGAAGATACATTGGATAAAAGAGGGAGAAGAACAGAAATTTTCGCCCTTTGATTTATTAAAAACTTTTCGGATAAAAATTTTCTTCTAAAATTGAGAGGAGGTTCTGTAGTTTCTGATTCTATTACATTAATTGGAGTACTTGGGAGAAAACCTATACTTAATCTAAGACATTTGTATTTTATTCTGTCCAACATGGTTCGCTAGTGCATTTTCTGCAAAAAACTGGAAAATGTGGGTGCTAAAGTATCTTTTCATAAGTAAGGTTAGGTGATGATGTATTCCATAGTTCAGTGGTGTAGATTTAAAAAATTTTGGCGTATTTATTTGCTTTGATTTTTCAACGTTATTAATTTCGCAAAACATTGTACTTAATGGAAACACTTTAGTCTCAACTATAGTAGTGAAATAAATATGCTTATGCTGAAAGGCATACAAGAACTATTTGGCTTTCACTTGTAGGTATCCGAAAAAGAGTAGTTATGCTCGGAGCCTTAGAATCTAACATATTACACTTTTTTGGAGATCACATTTTTAATGACGATATTTTTTAAAATCACGCAGTAAATTTGATAAAGCTGATAATAAAACATTATTTTAATATTCGCAGTCATTATGAGACCACAAAAAAGTTGGATATGTTAAGAAAAAATAGAGTAAAAAGTATAAACACAAAAGTGATATTGTTCAGAAAGGAATAAAATTTCAAAATCCCTACCTTGTATATAAGTATGGTAAATTTATTGATTTAATAACTTTTATAAATTTATTAGTGTTAAAAATCTGAATTAATTTAAAAATCTCTTATTTACTAATTTATAAAACTGTTCAAATTTGTTTTAAATAAATCTTGATTTACTTGTTTTTATTTTATTTAACATCTTTATATGTAATAAAACTTGTATTATTCTTGGAAAAAATAGTATTTCTAAGTTTTTCACCTAGATTTCACTCAACTTCATACCCTTATTCCAAATCCAATTGGTTTTAAAGTTTAAACCATTATAAAGTTTATTGCACACCATACAGGTTAGTATTTCATTATTTTTTTAAAATTAGTTATGATTTTATCTTTAATAAGATACGCCACTGGCATCGACAGACTTTTAGTTGCGTGTAACAGCAGCGTTGCCAGACGAGATCTTGGATTACAGTCTGTCTTCTTTCAATGCGCATAAAATATATTTTTTCTCTTTTCCAATGATTGGGACCCACATACTTTGATTTTCTTTTACTATACGGAGAATGGTCGCACTGCGCAGCTTTCTGAGTGCCTTTTAAAAGGAGATAGAAAACTCCGCCATTTTGAACCCTTATTACGTGTTGCCTACATCTTGGCGCAATATTTTTAATAGGTGCGTTTTAATCATCCGCTTCTGCTTCGGAATTGTCGGTTTTCTTGTTTTAATCTAACAGGTTAAAACGACTAAGTTAGCTCACTCGGACCAGTTGAAAGTTCCAAAATAACATCCACTCCAGGGATACAAATTCAGGATACGCAGAAGACTGCTGTTTTATTATAGGCAGTTGTCATATATTGTATTATCCGAGTTCAAAATGGCCGCGCCCTATGTTGGGCGTGTCGGACCTCTCTCTTGCCTCGTATAGTAATCAAAGTATGTGTTGGGACCAAACAAAACATGCTTTATGAATGAAATGCATCATCTATTGTTTCTTTTATCTAAGGATCAAACGAACTTTATGAAATGTGTCACTCAATTTGTAGACGAAACTTTTCATTAGCTCTAGCAACTCGTAATCCAGGTAAATTATTACACGCACAATGGCTTACAAAAGGCAAACCGTAAATTGCGTCTTTACATCGGAAGTAAATGTCCGTCTACAAATTTAAGAACAATCGCTGAATTTGTGGTAAAAGTTTATGCACCAGTGTTTGACATTAAAAGAAAACCATCGTGTTGTGATGGAGGAAGACACGTCTTCAGAATGATACAGTTGTCACGCTCCTTGAACAACGAATTAAAGGCAGTCATCGATCCTGTTATCAAACGAAATGCGTATTTTTGTCATCTGGAGAACCTTCTTCTAGCAATGCATTCTGATGACCGTCCTGCTATAAGACAACTTTGCTTACGAAGAATATTGATGGCGCGCACAAAAATATCTACAGACGTAAGGGAATTTGTTATTCCTGAATTAGATTTCGATGCCAGTGAATATTATGCGCTTATTGACTGGCAAAATTGATCAGTTACAGCACCACCTCTTTTAAGTACTGCAACTGATGGAGATATCAGAGAATTTATAAACGATACAGGAACTTGTCCTGTAGATTTTTTTGTCCTTTCCCTGCCATACACAGGCAGTAGAGAGGTGTGTGAAGGTTGTAACAGAAGCTTCCCATTCTGTTGTCGGCCATGACACTAGAGATGGATTTATTCGTGCAAGTATTCATTCTAGAACCATATTACCTCGATTTAACACTAAGGAGGAATGCAATGCATTAATTTCATATACCTATTTTTTTGTTATATTGTTAAGTTGTACTCGCTTTCGTTTATATAAAAAAAAAAACATTTAAATTGTTTATTTTCATTTTTATTAAAATATTTGCAAAAGTGATATTATTTCATTTATTACTTCGTTTTATTAGATTATTCGGGAAAATAAGAAAACTCAAGCAGGTGTAGAGCCCTGAAGATGACATTTTAAAAATAAAATAAAAACAGCCCGTTAATCATTCTTACATTTAGAAACTTTTCCGCACTATTACGTTTCGAAAATAAAACAATAAATATTTTCTTCCTGTTTCACTGCACCCTAATGTACATCCAGTAAAATTCCAAATATCCAGCAGCACCCTTCAAAGTTTTTATTTTAAATTTAATTGTAATAACGCAAATAAAACAACGTTTAGTCATGGCACTGCTAAGTAACTTTAATTTTTAAATGGAAATAACACAAACTCAAACAAATAAAATAAAAAAACGCATCATGCGAAAAACTAGTATGGAGGATTGCCGACCGTCTGCGATAAGACTTTTATAAAGTCATCCATTGGACAAACTTTGTTCACCGTGTTCATTTTGCACTGAAAGTGGACCAAGATCATCCCAACGAAGAACAACAGCGGAACATATGATAACCAGACTAAGGCGCGTGTGAATCTCGAATAACAGCTTCTAAAAAGAATAAAATAAACTGGTTAGTAGTATTAACGAAAATTGATTAGATGTATCATGCCTAATATATAGACAATGTGATTTAAATGTATTATTTAAAAATAATTAATTTTATTTTACCTAAGTCCCACTACTGGCGACAAGAGATATCATTTTTCGAAATCTCTGAAAACGTCAAATTTTTTAAATAAATTTCTCATTAAAGTACTGTTTCGAACCCAACTTTAAATACGATTAAAAGAAATTAGCGGCTGAAATAATGAATTAAAGAAAAATCCATAATAAAAATAAAAAAAGCTGAGTCTGAGAACCACAAGAGTTTATTTAATACTAGCTGATTACGAACCTACCTCTATACGAACTACGCTACAAAGTTGTTGCTTATACGAGAGCTGATCCCATTGCTACACCCCTGCCCACTTATTGAGCAAATATCTCACTTTTTATTTCAACGTAGTCTCCTTTAAGATGTAACACATTTTTCCCATCTATGTTCTAGCATTTTCAATGCTTCTCGAAAGAAAGATTGTTCGATATCTACAAACCACCGATTTATCTGAAGAAAATCGTTTACCACGCAAGTGTTCTTAAAGTTTTAAAAAGTCTGTAATCGCTGAAGGCTAAATCTGAAGAATATGGTGGATGCTCAATTAATTCGAAGGCTGCTTGAGTGATTACAGCTCTTGCAATGGCGGACCTGTGACAGTGTGCATACTGCATAATCCTGATGCAAAAGAACACCTTTGTACAACTTCCCCCGTTTTACTTTTATCGCGTCACGTAATTTAGGAATTCAAATTAGCATAATAATAAGCACCTGCAATTGTGGCTTTCTTTTGCAGGAAATTGATTAAAATTACGCCTTCAGAATCCCAAAATACGGTCAATATGACCTTCCGTACTGAAGGCTGCAACTTGAATTTTTTCGGCGGTGGTGAACCTTGATATATTCACCAAAGATATCAGATAGAATAGATACGCTTTGTTTACATTAAATTTGTCCACATCTTTCAGACAGTACACTCTTCCTATGTTGTCATTAAATATCCTGCATTAAACTTTTATTTAAAAATTTACGATTCCCTTTAATCGCAAAAAAAAAGGAAAAATAAAGAATTTAAAGCATCAATATGAGTTCTTTATTTATTACAATCACTAAAGATGTTTTATTTATCGTCTTTTATATGTGTATCATATGTGGATATTAAACATTCTGGTTCATAACCTGTTTGGCAATCTAAGGCATTTCGTTGACGGCGTCAAGTGACAGCTTAAGTTTTATTTTGCTTTTTTGTGAATTTTTGAGATTTTCAAAAATAATTCGAACATTGAACTGTCTAATTAGGACATTTAGGATGGTGAGGAAATGTGTATTGTGCCAAAATATTTGTCATATGATACTGCAGATTCCCCTAATGTATCCACCAAATCTTTATATGAATTTGCGATGGGGTCATCTATTTAAAACGCAATTATTTAATCACCGCTCGTTGCTCGACACGACCCATTTTGATACCGAGATTCAGACTCATTTTCTAGCGTGAGTCTATACATAAAAGGTTACAATGCGACGTGGGCGTGACGATAAATAATTGTTATGATTTGTAAATGAGTCAGGGGAGGCGCAAAAGGATCAACCCTCGTATTTGTGTGAAGTGGTTTTGTAGCAGACTAATAAATAGTCTAATTCACAAAGGAGCTCTAAACGAACTTATCTGTTGTAAGTTATAGATCAGTAAACTATAATGAATGTCTAATAGAGTTGGGCGATATTTAAAAATATCAGTAATATTTTTTACATGTTTTTCCATCGATTACATAAATATTTTTCAGAAAAATATTAACAAATAACATTTAAGTGAGAGATAACGATGGTAAATCATAAGTACTGGAAAGTGTAGAAGTACAATCCAAATATTGGACTACCAACAGTCCTTCCAGGCCCTGGCGGCACATAACAAGGGTGAATCGGTGCCGGGACACGTGGAAGCAGACCTCCCAGCTAGAGAGGGAGATAATTGGACCAGGACCCATATGTGATATTTGATATCAACACAAAGGGGCACTAATGGAACAGATAAATAGAGATCATCAGCTCTGGTTGGAACTTTCTAGCAGTCCAGAATATTCATAGAGGGTCCATCCAAGAGCAGGCAAAATTAACTGCTAAACATTAGCAGGAACGAGCTAAAGATATTAATAGGACTCTTTACGAGACTGATAGAACAGACATATAAATAATCATATTTTTATTATATGGATTATATATTATTTTATTTAGAAGTTAGAAATTATTTCTCAAAGCATGAGATTTTAATAACTTTTAATTAATTAATATTTCATTAAATGGTTGAATTTAAAGTTTAAATGCACAAACAATCTAATATATTATTTCCCAGTATAATGCGAAATTATATGATTATCTACTACCTATTCGCAGTTAAAAAAAAAATAATCTAATGACTCACCTATATCTTGAATATTCTTTGGTTTTTTTGTCATCTTTAGATGCTTTTAAGTGTTCACACTTCAGACATTTTTCTAATAATACTTTTTCAGGAGAATTTGTTGGCGACTTTAATCCTTTCGATAATAGCCTAAAATATAAGCAATTCCAATACAGTGTCCGCAAAAAATGCGCAGCATATACAAAACTTTATCACCGATTGTTGGTATACAAATTCAAAAAGAACTGTTCCAAATTGTAACAGAGAAATAATGCACTCACCGATTTGGAGACGATTGCTCTTTCCAAAATTCGGTATTTTGCCTAATAATCGCCATATAATTCGTAACTAAATTCCAACATTTGGTCATCCGATTTTCGCATGTCAAAACGCCAAATTGACCAACCGTTTGCATCATTTCTTGCATTTGGTACCTAAAAAGAAGCGATCGTATAGATCAAATATATATGACATCCAAACCATTATACCACAGGAGCATATGCATTTAGGGATATGGGAAAGAAATCTATTACAATTAGAAACGTTTTTAGATACAAGAAAGAAGCGGGAAAGTGATTGAGAAGAAATAAGGATTTGATATGGTATAAAAGAGCTGGAGAACCGCCAAAATCAGACACAAACGAAGAAGGATAGTGAATCCTTGGACCAATAGATTTACGAACTCACCTGACATCTTCTAACATCACGAAAACAGGATTAATAGAATCAGTAGCGCCGATACATTTGTGCTCTCTCAAACGTACTGATATGTCCTTCAGTAAATAAACGAATTTTCTGTGCACCTGTGAACAGAGGTCCTTTTGTTTTTGCAACCTATCTTTGACGTCCTTGGAATCTAACGCTACTTGTATGGCAAACGTGGTAAATAATCTTTCAGTTTCGTCTTTGGATAGTTTCACTCTAGAAGAAATTAATAAACTATTGATACAACCAACCATTTATTACTAAAGTTAAATAAAATTTTAAAAAACATCCTGAAAGTATATATACATAATTTATTTAGTTTCTTGTAGATAACTGTATATTTAAGAAACATTCCATATTATTCAATATTATCCCATAAAGACTAATATACCGTTAAACTTACTTTGGACTAGTTTCATGCAGCCCCAATTTGTCCAAAAAGCTATCTGATAAATGTGGAAAGGCGTCTTGGAGTTGTAAATCGAAAGTAAGGAGCGGTAACTACAAATAAAATACATACATGCAATTTGATAAGCCTAATAACCATCTTTTTTCTACTCCCATACTCTAATAAATGAGTTTATTAAATATGTGCTACCTGTATCATTGACCAATAGAATATTTTGAGATTATTACAGAAATATTTGCATTTTTCCTCAAATTTGTCCAATACGTTCCATTTTATAGAAATCATGTATATGACCAAAATTATAGAGAATAACATCACAAACAACTTTTGTATAATCATAAATAACAAAAATATATCTTAAAGTAGAAACACAAGTACTATTAAAAATACTTAGATTTTGATAGACCAAATCGTATTGCTTATCTATAAAAATTGTATTTTGATTAAAAAAACAGATGAATGCAGAAATCATACAGTCGGATCTTAGACTACAACTAAATGGCAACGTAGCACCGATATTGACAATATCCATCCTAAATTTAACAAACCTGCACACCAAGGGCGTGATGTTGCCAAATTGGATTAAAAAAAACTTATTTTGAAATAAAAATTCTAATTCCTATAAGTTTATGTATTTTAAGGTCAGCTCAAATTTTCATATTTTTGTGTGGATTCTCCGATTACTCTTTGGCTAATAATCAATCATTAAAAAATATATACATGACGTAGATAATTTGCGTTTTGTTTTATAGACATTGTGAAAAGTTGATCAAATGAGAAACATTTTTCAAAACTATGTTCCCAAATTATGAGACCAACATAGTGACGTTTTAAAATCCAAGATATTAGGTACGGTTTTTAAGATATTTGAGGTAAAAACTAAACAGGTCGATTTTCTATTTTTGGCTCTGGTGTCCTTTATTTTTACAAATAGCAAAAAATGCAAACAAGGTTTTTTTATTTAAATTCCAAATATTTTAAGTATCTTAAAGTGGTTCGAATTAGATTTAAAGCTCTTTCAAACCTTATAAGGTCATCTAAGGCAAATTAAAATAATAGTAGTACAGAATAATTTGAAAATTCGGAAACAAATCTCAAAAAATCCCCCTACGCATTATCAAGACCATCCCCCGAACCCCAAAGGTGAAAACAAATACTTGGAGATTTGAAAAGAAGCCTGTCGCCATTGCGATTCGAACTTAGACATCTTTCTTCTGTACCCAAATGCTCTTACTGCTAGACCATAATGTACAAGGGCGGTGATCATAATTGTCCTTCTAACTATCGACCCATTTCTTTATTACCCACATTGGCAAAAATTACTATGCTATGTTTTCTGTTCTAGACAATTTATACCTAAATTTAAATGATAACAAGGTAGCTGCTGTAGTGTTCTGTGATTTATTCAAAGCTTTTGACTGTGTAAATCACAGAATATTGCTGAGCAAGCTAGAAAAATATGGGTTCCGAGGAATAGCTCTAAAGTGGTTCCAGTCTTATTTGGAGACTAGAGTACAAAGAGTTTCTTTCAAAAAGCAAACATCAACGCTTTCTATGGTTCACTGTGGGGTTCCCAAAGAATCCGTTCTGGGGCCGAGTTTATTCCTAATTTAAGTTAATGATATTATTTAATTAATGTCAATATTAATGGATACTTCACCATATTTGCAGCTGATACACCAATACTCTGGGAGTGACAATACTGAAGAGTTGTCTAATACTATTAACAAAGACATTATTAAGGATAAATAATGGTGTAATTCAAATTATTTATCTCTTAGAGCCAGTTTTTCAATAACAGTTTAAACTTTCGTTCACCTGAACTTGGATCAAATATATTGGTAGTTCTGAATTGACGTACTTCTGACAAAACTGAATGCTCTATGTCAGTTTGACGTTTTTAAAAACAATAATAAAAAATGAAGATGAAAAATTGTACAAAATGGAAAAAAATTGACAGATCGCCAATTTTTCGAACAACCAATAACAATTATTGGCAAATTTTGCTTACTTGTATTATTTCTAGAATACAAAATATATGTTATTATAAATTTTATTATCTATAAGTCGGATTTTTAATTCCTCCTTCTGATTCGTTATTCTGTTGGCCGTTTTCTTGGACAAACGAAATCTTGCATATTCTCTTGAGTACATGGTACATTAATTTGCAATATTGTCAGCATCGTCTTTACTTATTACTTCGAACATAAAATATAAAAAAAATTGTGAAATATACTTATATTATGTCAATGTCAGAACATTGATCTTAGTTTAAACGCCCAACTTTGACCGTTCAATTTTTCGGAGAGTTTAAATTAAGTTCAGACGTGAACTACATTTGAAATACACCATCTTTCAATTAAACCCAGTTTAAACTTTGATTGAAAAATATCGCGACGAATTGAGAACCTCCTCCTTTTTTGAAGTCGGTTAAAAACTGGCCCTAAATATATCAAAAATAAATATAGTCTCATGTAGTGGCGATATCGCTATAATTTCAGTTGGACAGCAACAAATTTGCAAAAAACCCGAAAATAAATTCTTAGGCTTATTCATTGACCAGAAATTAAAATTTGAAATCCATGTTAATAGTTTGTGTAAGAATCCCATTTACGATATGCTATAAGTTTCTGGGGAACATGTTCTTCCGAGTAGTTTACTAAAGTCTTTGTCTTACAGAAGAGGGTCATCAGACGTATGTGCAAAGTTGATGCTAGTGTCTCTTGCAAGCCATTATTTATTAGGCACAATATAATAACACTTACTTGTCTGTTTATTTTAGTTTTAAAAAATATTAGTACCTCCAGCAATACTCGAAGAATCTTTTACCTTCCCTCTTCTGGCTTGGTATATGGCTCTATTGTGTATAGCGGGAAGAAGATATTTAACCACTTGTCCATTAATATAAGTGCTGACTCATTAAAAAGCAATTTAAGAAACTCTTGCTCGAAAAGGCCTACTACAAATTGGATGAATTTTTCTGTGATCGGTTGAATTAAGTAGCTCATTTTAATTTATGGGTAGGTATGGTATATATTTGTCAATTGTCATATTTGTAGTTGTGCATATACATTTTTGTTCTTTATATTATATTTTATGATTGACATTACAATATTAAATTTTTTGAAAAATATTTTTACTTTTGTTTTTAGCTTTCGTATACTATTATCGTTGCATGAACATATTTATAGTAACAGTAAAAAGTGTTGGATGCAATCTTGGGCGGCATCTAGTGACAATTTAATGAAGTAGTCAATTTTTAATGCTATGCAGATACGCCCTCTACGTCTTCTTTTCGTTGAGACACGTGGCCTCTACTATGTATCACCTACCTATTAAAGTTAAGAACATCTTTATTTATTTAAAAATAACAATTCATAATAAAAGATATAAAAAATTAAACATAATGAAAATTTATTCCAGTTGACAATACCGTTCAAATACAATTTTTGGATGAAGGTGATAAAAAGTGGTTAAGAACTTTGGTCAATATTTTGGTTTATGTGTGGTTATGTCAATATATATAAACAATAACAACTGATAACAATATCCAATGTTTTAAATAAATTAAAAAGTTCCAAGTAGAAGACAAATAAGGAATAAACTTCTGAAAATGTTGCATGTAATCTAAGTACCTCTAATTGGACGCAATAAGCATCTTTTACCAATTACTATGTCTGGACTAAGTGTTGGAAAAGTTTATAACCATAAAAATAGCTGAATATTTTTATAGTTTTCAAAATTCGAACAAGCTTTGCTACAAAATTTCATCAAAGCTATCAACAGTTTGCAAGAAATTGAGTTAAGGAACAAGAAAATCACTAATCAGGGAAAAATCAATCCATAACACTGGAAAACAAATTAAAAAAAAAAATAGCAGTCACACGGGTATATTAGTGACTTCCAAATGTATCTTGGCTGTTGTTCATGAATATAAGAAAAAATGTTCTCTCCGCTGGCTATGAGTGTTGAAATAAATCACCTTGAATGAAAGTTTTCAATAGCTCCGCTCTTTAGGAACAGCTCAAGACGAAATCGATAGACCTACAAGTGGTCTATCTGTGGAAGACATATTCAGTTAGTCTTTATATTTCATTATGCAATGTTACAAGGTTCAACAAAATGGTTAAAATTTATTTTCAAAATCAGTGCTCTTATTTAGTACAGGATTCTATGAACGACACAATAATTATAAAGCCCTAACTTTGAACATAAAAGAAAATCTTTTATAATTTATCACTGTTTGGAGAAGTATATTTGTATATTTAATCCAGGTTAAATGTCAGTGCGAGAGTGTAATGTTAAGTATGAACAAAATCCGCCCATTCTGTTTATACGTTTGGTTACCGACCCTAGTAGATAGGCAATTTGTTATTGCTTTTAAGTTTTACCCTTAAGTAGGGAGAGAGAAAATCAATATTAGGATAAATGTTCCAGCCCCTTTCTGGTTACATACCTTAAGTACGCTCTCTTTCGTTTTAACCGTTTCAGTAGTAAGATCGCTCTCTCTCCCCATTTAAATTTATTAATAAGTACTCTAGTTCTTGGTTAAGTAATTAATAGTAACATAGTGATTTTCTTGTGATAGTACCTCATTTAGATTTTGGATTAACGTTTTTGTATATGACTTCGCTGTTTAGTAATAAATGAAGTCAAAACCGGAACACATGTTTTATTCTGGAAAATATTTTTAAATTGAATCACGCATGCCGTTCGAGTGAAAATGTTTTAAGTAGTTCAAAACAACAATTACTATTTCATTGTTTATAGAATACAGCCTTTTAGTTAGCTCAAACAAAACTGATTAAATAAATAAATTAATGTCTTATTATTTGCATTTTTTTTATTTCGACTGGTTGACTATCTCAAAAACTAAAGCCAATCAAGCAAAACGTGAGTCACATTTCGCTTTTTCAGAAGAACAATAACGCAAGTGAAAATTAATGATTCCACAAAAATAGCAAATTAAAAAAAAATGTAATATGAAACTTACAACTAAGGCGTTAAGGAAAAGTTTAGAAATAATCGATGGGGGACTTCGAGATAGCAAATTTATTTTAGTTTTAGACAGAACTACTTTATTTTATTCTTTTTGAAACAATTGAAGATTTATAGACTGGAGAAGCGATTTGAAATCGGTAAAACGATCGCCCAAAAACGCTCTTAAACCCCCGTCCACAAAATCACTGTTGACCAGTGTAATATATAAATATATTCACACATAAATGTACAAGCAAATTAAATAACATAATATTTAAGAATAGTAATATTAATAATTGTCATTGATTGAACTGTATATTCAGTCCAATAGGCTCTCGACCGAAGTCCTTTCCCTTTTTAGAATATTATGTTTCAAATTCAACAATTTTACATGTTTTGTTCCAACACGGATTTTAATAATAGATTTATACATTGTTTTTGTTTATTTGAATGTTAAAAGTTCTTGAAACTAACTTTAACATATATTTCCCATGCTGGCGCTTAGTGTTCAAATAATGAGACGATTAAACGAAAAAGGCTTAAGAGAGCCAGTTGGCCTTTTTTAGTACACATTTGTGCAAGGCAACTTTACAAATCTTTCCTTCTTTTTTCTCTTGTAGAAGATGGACACACCAGCAGTGGAGCGCACAATGATGGTATTTTAAAAAGCCACGTCACATATTTGATTAGATAATTAACTTGATATAAGTGCCTTTAAGACTTAGATCGTTAAGCGTTCAAGTTTGGATTTCCAAACCCGGATTCAATTACAGATAAAAACATTCTTTTTTATTTTGGAAAAAATATGAAAAATACGACTAATGCTGTTTATTTATTTTAAATACATTTTATTTACCATAATAACCCCTACAATTAATGCAATTTTTCTGCTAAATTTTGTAGTATTTTGATAACAGTTCAGAAAAAAATAGTATTAGTCAGTAACTGAACTTCACGAAATCCAAAGTTGGGCACTTAACTTCCTGAGCAATGAAGGTTTATGTCAATGTTAATTATCTACTGAAATATATATAACATTCGCATTTTCTATAATTTATTTTTAAAGACGCCTTCGTTGAGCGCTTCATCACTGTAGGGCATGCAGCAAAATATTTCCATGTATAAAAAAAAATAAATGAAAAATTTGTAATTTTGCCTTTGGAAAATAATACACCTAAATGTTCTACTGATTCCGCTACCATAAAATGGTACTCGATTCGTTTTCAAATGGTGTTAAAAATTGAAAACTGAAAATTAGTGGCTTACATGTTTTTATTACTTAGTATAATAATTTCAGTAAACGTGTTTAGTATCATGTTATAAGTTTATCTAACAGCAAAAAAATCTGTTGGTTAAATTTTGTCAATGCCGATTTTAGTAAAATTATATTGAATAATAAAATTATAACTACCTATATATTTACCTATTATTAATTTTTTAATTTTCAACTTAACATCCTGTATTTCAGAACATTTTATCCAAGCATTTTTTATTTTCGTCTATTCGCCTCATTTTAAACACAATAATCTTCAGTTGTTCATGTCCTATTCTTAATTTAATGCCATTATATAAAAGTGAATAAAAATTAATAGCGTAAAACTGAAGTTTTAATTAACCATCAGCGATCAATCCAAAATCCAACCACAATATAGAAGAAAATGTTCCCTATTATAGTAAAATTCCACCCAATCTCAACTCATTCAATCTTTTCCAAACAAAAATTGGTTTATTTTATTATATTGATTATTTTGGCATTTTATGTGACCTTCAAATACCCTTTTGTAATAATTTGCAATTGTAACTATAAAAATACATTACCGAAGACAAGTAGAAATGAAAAAGAAGATTTTAAATTATAATTCATACTCAAGCACAGACACGACCTAAAGACCTGACTTGGACATAAGTACAGTTTCGCCATCTACATTCTATATCCATCGTCCTCCAATGATCTTTCCATAAGGTTATCCTACTATAATATCTTCATACAACGCTATTATGTTATCGATCTTTGTTAATAAGAATGTAATTAATTCTTCAACAATAAAGAAATTTTGACTTGACATTGATTGTCGAGATTCTTAGACGGCAATTTGATATGCTAGTTTGGACCAAACGCCGTTTCAGGTTCGCTCTCAAATCTTCAAATACCTATACTCTATATAGCATCGGTATATATGAGAAATGCACACAGACAAAAATATGGGCTTAGTATGCATCAATGCACTTCTCATATACACCGATGCTGTATAGAAGTATTTTAAGATTTGAGAACGAGCCTAAAAAGGCGTTTGGCCCGAACTAGCACATCAAATTGCCGTCTAGAAATCTCGACATTCAATGTCGTCATTGTCTAGCGGTAAGGTCATTTGTGTACAGAACAAAGATGTCTGGGTTCGAATTCTGGCGGCAACGGGCTATTTTAAAATCTCCAAGAATTTGTTTTCACCTTTGGGGTTCAGGGATGGTCTTTAATAATTCAAAGGAGGATTTTGAGATTCGTTTTCAAATTTTCAAATTATTCTACAACTTATTTCAGATAATTCTGACCTTTCGGATTTCGATTTGCGATCTACGATATTTTAAATTCACAATTTTCATACACAGGTTTACATCGCTTAATTTACATTAAAAACTTAACTCACGTAGACGAAGATATGTGCTTAGTATGCATCAATGACTTTCTCATAAAATATAACGAGCCAGAAACGACGTTTGGCCCGAACTAGCACATCAAATTGCCGTCTAGAAAGCTCGACAGTGTTAGTTAAAATTATAACAACGTTCTTAACAGCTCAAAAGATTGTATAAGCCAGGTTACTAGAAGAATGTGTATTAAAATTAATTAATCGTTAGAATAAACTCATACGGTTTAATTTTACGTAAAATTAGCTGCCTTGAACATGGGGATGGATACACTGATACATTTAATGTAGAACTAGAATTTGTATTACATTTTAAAATGTTTTAAGTGTTGTTATTAATTTGTTTTTGTTAAAAAAGTAAATTGTGTAGTAATTGATTTCTATTATTTTATTTGTCTCTATTAATTTTTACAAATAAAATATAAATAAGCAAATCCGTACTCAAAACTTTTCCTGTATCTCTAGTGGTTTACGAAATCCTAATAGTTTGCATATAAATTATCTAAATCCTGTATATATTGTTATAAAAATCAAATTAGATTCGATTTTGGATATTAAAAGATCTCAAAACTCACGTGGGTGCTCGAGACGGTACGACCACTTTGTTCTCCATCGTCGCCGAATTCAAACGTTCTACAATTTTGACTGTCCGGGCTGTTATGGGCATTTTCAGGTTTCCATTCTTCGTTTTTTTGCGGATCTATCTCTATACCCGGCGAATCCGGGCTTACCGGTCTTACGTCCAGTTTAGACGGTCTTAATGTAAATTTCCTGATTACTTTTGGTTCATTCCTACAAAGAAATTTCCTATTTAAACAGCCAACATAAAAATTAAGCTTGTTAAAAGTGTAACAAGGGAAAAAATGTTCGTTACTGCCAATTTTTGGTACACTGATAATGTAGTTGTACACGTATGATGAAAAAAGAAAATAAATTCTTTAAAAATGGATAAAGACAAATAAGAATACTTACACTTCGACCTTTGCATTCGAAAGGTAATTTACATAGGAATCTGCATTCTCTCCCATTGTAGATGGATCATTCGAAGACTAAAATACATAAATAACATACAAATGTAATATATAAAATAAATAAAAAAAAACAGAATTAAAAATTAAACTGTAAAAATTGTCAATTCATATTGACAGGCATCATTCTTCTGTGACAATAGAACATCTTTGAAAACACGATACACAGAGTTTGAAAACCTTTTTATTGAATATAAGGGATGATTCAGATATTTTTTCGTAGTTTATATTGTACCAAAGATGGAGAAATGGGCTTCAGGAATATTGCTATTAAAAAGTTTTTCTATACCTCCAGATGAAAAATAAATGTTATATAAATAATGAAAACATCGAAAATATATGACAAATAAGTACAGCAAATTTCTTTATTATATAAAAATAATTACTAGGTAATTAAAATTGAGAAAGAAAGTCAGGTATTTAAATTATTGTTTTGTTCCTACTTTGATATATGGCAATGGTGTAAGGTTGTTTCTTAGGCATTTACTCCGTTATGTTCAAGTATTGTACTTGTAAAATTACTTACGTTTCTTTTAGTATATTCTTGTATAATCAATACTTAGATTATATTAGTCTTAAATATTTTTCTCCACAGCCACTACAGAATGTATTTCTTCCGAAATCACTATAATAACAAAACAAAAAACTCGCTCTTCAGATTGATAGAAAATTCTAAAACACTTGCATCTTATGTGTTTTACACGCATTTCGGTATTATACGCCGACACTCGAACGGCGGATATAACTATTGAAATGTTATAAAGAGTTTCTAGACACTTGGAAACACACTATGCATAACAATTTTGGGTCCGCTAACACTTATTTAAAAAAAAAAAATTTACCTTAAAATCCTGAAAATCCTTAAAATTTGTTGTCCGGTCTCCATCATAAAACAAATGTGAAATAAACCATTTTCACTGATTTCTTGTTGTAGAAACGGCTAATATCAATATAAGACCATTCATAGAGCAATAAACCGTACCAAGTTTTTTTCATAAACGATCAAATTTTCTTATTTTTCATTTTAAGTTTATTAGAAAAATAAATAAACAAAATTATTTTTAATGACAATTGATGTATCTAGTTTCTATAAATGCGGTGTTGCCAAATCGAGTAAGAAAACATATAAGTCAGGAAATAATTCGGTTAGTGAAAGTTGGCTGAAAAATTACATAGTGTCTGGCCAGCAGGTAAATTTGGATCTCAAAGTGAAAACATTTGTAGTAATCACAGATAACCGTCTTTTTATTTTATTTCATGATGATTGTACGTTAATTACGGCATGTCGGTACTTACCTAATATTTAAAAAAAAAAAAATTAATTTTGAGCTGTGTCCAGGCCGTTGGAGTTTATGCCGGTAGGCGTAGCCAGGTATGGATTAAAAATTTTCTGGTGGCGGCGAAGCCGCCACCTTACCAGAAGTCCTTTCTTTCTTTTCTTATTGTATATTTTCTTATTATTAGATGCCCACGATACAAAACACATTCGTTTAAAGTTGTAATCGAGGTTCACTGGCCAGATGTTAATGAGGGTTGGTTAGGTTAGGCTAGGTTTTTTCTTCAATTTGAGCTGTGTCCAGGCCGTTGGAGTTTATGCCGGTAGGCGTAGCCAGGTATGGTTTAAAAATTTTCTGGTGGCGGCGAAGCCGCCACCTTACTAGAAGTCCTTTCTTTCTTTTCTTATTGTATATTTTCTTATTATTTGTACGATACAAAACACGTTCGTTTAAAGTTGGGATCGAGGTTCACTGGCCAGACGCTAATAAGGGTTGGTTAGGTTAGGTTTTTTTTTTTTTTTTTCAATTTGAGCTGTGTCCAGGCCGTTGGAGTTTATGCCGGTAGGCGTAGCCAGGTATGGTTTAAAAATTTTCTGGTGGCGGCGAAGCCGCCACCTTACTAGAAGTCCTTTCTTCCTTTTCTTATTGTATATTTTCTTATTATTAGATGAGGAAGAAGATCTTGATATGGGTATTTTTTAAATTGTTAGTTTTATATAATTTTTCTGATACCGAAGGCAATTGGTTGGCCTGGTACAACGCAGGGCATAGGTAAAAATTACCATTGCTATGTAATACATAATTGATATGGCAACATTGTATTTCTTTTAGACACATGTCACACTGCCGAAGTCAATTGTCATTGCGGTTATGAAATTTGTATCATTTTGACAAAATGTAACTTGGTCGTAAATTAAGAAAATAATACTGTTTATGAAAAAATTTGGATGGTTTATTGCATTATGGATGGTCTAGTGTTATTATTTAGCAGTTTCTATAACAAGAAATTAATCAAAATGATGTAGTTCAAATTTTTTCAACATCGAAATTGGAGGACACATTTTAATAGTTTTAAGGTAAGAAAAAAATATTTTATAGCGTTTGCAGGGCAAAAAAAGTATTTTGAAATGTGTTTCAGAAGGTCTAAAATCGTTTAAAAAAAAAAAAAAAAATAGCCCGTTCGACCGTCGGCGGATTTTTCCCGCATTTCATTTTAACTCTAGGGTCATAATGTTCATTATGTAATAGCTACTGGCAAATGGCTGTGAATACCACGCCCTTACCGTAGATAGTCATGAATTTTATGACTGACAGTTCGACGTGACGTATTAGTATTTAAAATGAGAAAAACCAAACATGCTACATTTTCACACACTTATCTACCATGTTTGGTTTTTCTCATTTTAATAATAATAATAATACGGATTTTCAAAATGTAAACGCCGAAACAATCAACAATATTAGTATTTAGTTTGAATAAAGATAAGCAGCGTTTGTTAAGTCAAACTTAAATTCAACAATTGGTGAATATAATGATTCTTATATGGAATTTTATAATACTCCTCCTAAACTGACAAATTATGCAAATAATTTAAATACAAACTTGCCTAACATAAGTTAGATTAAATATTTCATTTTGTGAAAAGTTTCATTTTACTATATTGAACTCCTACTGTGTCTGTGGCCGTGGAGAAAGTACAGTCTGTTACTCTGTTGAAATGAAAATCCGATACTCGAATTTTCATTACAACCTTGTTACAGAATATAATATTCTTACATACTTATAACGCAACTGCACATCTTCATATAAGGAGAAAACAGGTCCGTCATTAACAGGCTAATGCAGGGACAAAACCAAATAAGCAAACTACATAGCGCTTAAATATGAGGCTATAGCAGCAAGTAAAAGAGGATAATATTCTAGGAATGCCTACTAATCATATACAAATTTGTGAGAAATTTTCAATTTAAAATACCAGTCCGAGAATCCTAGAAATAGAGACCTCCCGTACAGGCTGAACTATCTGGTATAAAGACGGTTCAAAAACAAAGAAAGGAACTGGCTAGAGTATTTGGACCAGAGTCGAAAACAACGATTTCTCCGAGTCTGAACTGATATAACATTGTGCAAGAGAAATAATAAATCAGCAATTATCAGGCAAAATTATGGCCGTGTACTCCGATAGCTATGCAGCTCTAAAGGCAATTTACTCACCAGAAATCAAATCACGACTGGTGAACGACTTCCTAGAAGACCTGGTAGTCAGAACAAGGGGGCCCTAGCCTCGGTGCCAAGCCACGAGAGATATTAAGGCAATGAAGAGGCCGACGAACTAGTCCGAGAAAGCTCAGATAGGGCCATGTTAGGCCCCGAATCCTTCTGATCAAACAATGGATGCAAAAATAGTCTTAGGAATGGTGGAACAACTATTCAAGAATGAGAAATGCTAAAGAGTTCAATAAGGAACCATCGGCCAAGTTAACGAAAGACCTACTGGTTCAAAAACTACAAATCGTTATAATAGTTACCAGACACTATAGCTTAAGAAGGCACATAAGTGTCATCAACCCAGTAGAAGAAGCAACAATGTTTAAGTTCTGTGAAGAAAAAGAGAAAACATCAATCCACGTCCTGTACCAGTGTGAAGGCCTGGCTAGGTTGAGGTTTCTAACACTAGGCGAAGAAAAGCCAGACGCATGGAACTAGATGCGGGAGCCACTGTCAAAGATACCAAGTCTAATAAAAAAGACCAAGTTAGACGACATACTCTAAATAACATAGTCCCACAATAGATATGTAAAGGTCGCAGAGGACAAGGAGAAATTATATTCAACTCTTTTCAAAACTAATCTAATCTACATACTTACAGCATAATTAAAAGAAAATCATAACAAGTACCTAACCTCAAATTGTTTTTAAATTCGACCCTTTTCGCATTTGTTGAGTTTGAATATCCACATCCAATGCATTTGTTACCTCCTCTCGAGAGTTTATCCATATCGGACACATCTGTTGCTACTAAATTTACGTATCTGTAAAGCCTACACAGAACACACATGAATAAGAAGATAAACACAAACTGAGACTGGCATATTAGGTATATACACCTAGGCCATAAAGACGAAAAAAAAAAAAAAAAAATCATGTGATCAAAGATTCACAACAACTCGGATGCTGCATCCTATATAGATAAACAAACGCAGCAATTATTACTGGTTATAATCCAATATTCAGTTATTACCATGACAATAAGTTAAGTAAATCAATCATGTTCTTACAAATTATTAGTTATTGGTGTTAAAGCAAAGACATTACAACTAAGAGACCAAATTGTTTACATTTTTATGTGGCAAATCATTATTCCCACCAGATTCTCGTTTATTGCGTCTTTGCCGATTTTATCAGTCTGTAAAAATTTTTTGGAGAAATTATTTTCGAAAAATAAAATTTGATGTATCCTATAACTATAATTTTATATTATATAAATAAAAATATGTTTTTAATAAAATTATTTTTTGAAGTTTTAATATAAGCTAAATTTTTTAATAAAAAATCAATATTAATCTAAACAAAATATTTGCCGGTTTTATCAGTCTGTAAAAATTATTTGGAGAAATTACTTTCGAAAAATAAACTTTGATGTATCCTATAACTATAATTTTATATTATATAAATAAAATATGTTTTTAATCAAATTATTCTTTAAAGTTTTAATATAAGCTAATTTTTTTATTAAAAATCAA